GCGCTGCTGGAATTCGAGTGAGCGTATTTTATGTTTAAAAAACTATTAACACTCCATTCTCACTGTTAAATAAGGTGAGGTTGATCGTAGGAGAGAGATATTTAATATTCAAGGCCTCTCTTATAGCGAGATGTTTCCGGCAATGTGATTTATATAAAATTTTAGTGTATTTGGTCATAAATTTTCTTAACGGTTCTTGTAAATTGCGGGTAGACAGATGTTTTTTATAGCACTTTAATCTGATAAATAAAACGTAAAGCGTCTACTCAAATCTATCTATCTATCTATCTATCTATCTATATATATATATATATATATATATATATATATATATATATATATATATATATATATATATATATATATATATATATAGAGAGAGAGAGAGAGAGAGAGATATATCATCAAATTTATCAGAAACCTTATATTCGCACATTCAATTGACATACACAGCGAGATAAATATATAAATATATCGTTATTTCCTTCATTTAATTTATTATAGAACACGTTGTCAATTGTGCAACACACACCGCGGATCGAAGTTTCCTGGAAAAAGCTTTCTGAGATTGCACAATTTACATTGCTTCAAGTCAGGCGCCTACATAAACAGAGACATAAATCAATACAAAAGATTATTTTGCTCTTATTTGTCATTTAGTAAACACATACTTGCTGAAATTTAATTTATTTGAGAAAAATACCAAAAGAAAATGTTACCTTACAGCGTTTCGTACGACGAGAATTTGGTGTCATATCAGATTTCAAAAGAGGTGTGCGCTGTTGGTTAATTCAAGGGTTAAATGAGTCAACGCCACATCGTGTCGAAATTAGAAATGTGACTTTGAAGTGTGAACAATGTGATTGCATAATTAACTAATGGAGGAAATGCAACCAGCATTTTGTTCGGATCGAACAGAACGGTTGTCTTCGTGAGATGAGACAGGAAATTAAAAGACATCACTGTTTCAATGCAGTTGAACGTGTTGAAATTAGGCCAGTGATAGCAGAATATTGTCATTACATGGCTGGAGATGGAAGTGTTAACAAGAGCAAATTGCTTTTTAAAACAGTCGAAATGTAATAGAAAAAGCAGTGGGCAATTAAAATGGTGGATAGAAATTTTTGAGTTGAATTTTCTTATTTGTCTTTGTTTAATTTTCAAACAACGGACGCCTGTGTGTCTAAAGATTTTCTATAGCATTTTTCTACCCACAGCTTTCTATTAAATATGGAGTTGTTGCTTATCTTCACCAATGATCTTCAAGATGTCATCCGTTCCTGTATCCTGGGTATGACGATAAACTACATCTGGGAGCAAGGCCTCTGACCGGGAGGTTTTGAAGAACGTGGAACCACTTCTTAATTGCTGCTGTTTCCAGGTCCACCCGGACCCGGGAGTAGACCCTGTTATGGTCTCAGTTATAGGAAAATAGTGAGCATCCCCAAACTAGTGTCAAAATATTATGAAAGTACATTTTTGTAACAAAAATAATAGGAATAGATTTTAATATTAAAAACGAATTCTAGCAATATATATTAATAGTAACAAAAAATTTGATGGAGCTCCCAAGAAAATTAAATTTCAGCATCAAATGACCCATAAGAAGTTGATATGCCGTTAAATAAACAAACCAAATCAAAATGACCCACCATCCATTGTTAACTGGGGCAAGGAAAGGCTTTCAAATTTTAACACATCCAATACGAAATTGTTATCTTTTAATCATCAGAGTTAACCATTTTTGCTTTTCATCAGCATGGCTGATGCTAACCTTCAGGAGAACAACTCATTGCTCTTACCTAGTTTCGTGTTTCCCAGTGCCATAAAGTGGGACGAGTGTATTGCATCAATTGCTAGGTTACCTGCTAGGAAATTTGTTTCCCTGGGCTTTGCCATGCATTTTTCTATCCAGAATCCAGTATATTTTTTAAGCTACCTTATGTCATTGCATTGAATGTTGCTACCATATGTGATCTGATGATTTTGGTATATATCTCTAGATTCTTGACAAATTCCAAATAAGAGTCTGTAATTTAATCAGTCCTGATATGGCATCTCGACTTCAATCAGTTTTCAACCGCGGCGACGCGATATATATATATATATATATATATATATATATATATATATATATATATAGTATTATAAAAGCATGAACCCTTAAAATGCCATCAGATGATATTTATTTAAGGTCGAAAAATTGACCTCAACTCTTCAGCGAAAAAAAAAAAAGTTGAAATTAGTAAATTCTAATTTCCCAAAACATACACTTAATTTCAAAGAATGAATTCTTCATGGATTTAACGTAAATCACGTTTTGTCGCGATAGTGTAGATTTAGTTGAAAAAAATGCGAAAACAACGCTCAAGAGCCACTCAAGGTATAGGATTGCCGATTGAGATTGTTTAAGGGCATAAAGAAGTGAGGAAGAGAAATTAATTAAAATGTATATATTATGATGATATATAGGTTAGTTATGAGTTCAGCCGATTTGTTTGTGGGTTTTGTTTAGCGGCATATCCACACCTCTATGGGTTATTTAATGCCGAAATCTAAATAATCTGAAAACGACTTTATGGCTTCAACTTAATATTTTTGAACGCGACTGTATATTTCCAACTACAAATAAAATGTATTGCTGGTTATTTTGCTATAAAATTGTGGGTCATTTTACTATAAATATGTATTGTTGGTCGTTTTTATATACAAAATTACTGATGGTATTTTTACTATTTGCCTATAGCTGTGACCTTAACAGGTGTTATCAACCGAGGTCAAGGTGAACCTGGGAATATTAACAATTAAGAAGTGGCCCAACACTTCTCAAAACCTCCAGTCTAACGATAAGTGACCTTTGCTGCCGGATGTAGTTTATCGTCATATTCAGGACTTGAGTTGACCCGAGATTTCAAGAGGTTAAAGGAAAAGTGATCGGGGTACCATCCTCTCTGGAATCTGTTCCATAATGTGTCAGTTCTTGAGAAAAATTGCCTGAGAGGAACTTATTTTTTAAAAGAAATAAGAATGTAATGTGCATGATTTGACGTTGTGTTCATGATTTTACAGTTCTTCATTGTGAAGTTGGTCGAACTCAGGAATGTAGAACTGTTCAACATTTTCTATAGTAATATATAATATATAAGAATTTAGTAGTGATAAAATAACAGCGTTTCTTCTCTAGGATAGGTGTCGTAGGATGAAACATAATTCTTCACCCACAAGACCACGTGATCGCTTTTGATCTCTGATAGTGAATACTGTTCTGTACCAGCCAAGATACGGCAATAATACTCCACTGTTGGTCTGATCTGACTCTTATAAAGATAGGACATTGCAGTAGGTAGTCTCCAGAGCAACACAAGGAACCGATAATACGAATATGAGTTCCATTTTTGGTCTGAAGTGAACTTTAGACCCAATAGCCGTTCGAGGTTAGAGTCGCTCATCAGAGTTGGATTAAATTTAACATAAATATTTTCCAAATTGTCATATATTTACTATATGCATATAAGAACTTAGAACTTAGTTGATAGTCATTTAATGGATTTTAACAAGATCCTGCTTTAAAAGAAAAAAGCTTTAGTGCCATCACAATGTCGTATAGAAAGGAAATCCAGTTGTCTATCATCCTCAGGGCAAAGATGTTGGTTCTTGCCATCGTTTTTCTGTATTATTTAAACTTGTGAGAATAGCTACGCATCCTCCTCTTTAAGAATGTAAATAACTTTATCACATTCATTTTATAATAACCATTCCGTATTTTATAGACTTCACATAGATCGGTAGACTGGCGTCTTCATTGAAAGTATGTTTGATTTATTTCGCTTCTAAGTAGACTATGGCAACTCCTCTGGGGTGATTGTAATAAGTCGATATATTTTTTGCAATATGGGCTCCACATAACTGCGCCATATTCGAGCATTGGTTGAATAAGTGAATATAACAGTTTTTTTTTAATCTTTTTTCGAGTGAGATATATAATGCAACGTTTGATAATGCTTGTTTTTGATTAACTTCCTTTAGGATTTCAAAAATCTTTAAGAAAAAACGCGTGAAAGTAGGTTATCTAAGTCACTTTCTTCTTTCACTTGTTCCAGGAAAACGTCGCCATTCTATATTTCTAATTTCGTGCATGTGCGTTGTTTGCGTTTGTTTTTGTCGACTGCACAATATTATAGGGTCCCCCTGGCGGTGAGAAAAAGAACAACATAACGCAATTCACTCCGACAGAAATATTGGAAACGCTATATTGTACTTCATGACATACGCGTACGTAGCTCCAATAGGAACATTTCAGAGTGTTGGGGTGTCAATCTGGGGACAGTGCAGAGCATTCAGAAAAAGGTGGGGTGAGTTTAATGGTAATTAAGATGATGTTTGGAGGGATCACTAGTGATGGTAACGTTATACCTCCATCCATCTTCCTACAGGTCGCCAGACACAAAACGGAGGCATACATGAAGTGCGTTGCGGAAATAGTTCTGCCCTGGTTCAAGATGATGTCTGCTGGAAGATCCTACATCTGGCAACAGGATTCTGCACCATGCCACACAAGCAGGAGTACCTAACCCTGACTTTCCGACAATTTCTGGGATCACATCACCACTCACATCTGGCTACCTACTCCCACCCCACTGCAACTCCTTTGATTATTATGTGTGAGACACAGTTGAGCAGAAACCAACAAAACTCCTTCTAAGACCAAAGATGATGAAGGCAAGGATTATGACAGCATCCACCAACTTAAACAAGGAGACCGTAAAGAAGAGATGCTGGTGATCTCGAAGTCGTCTGGAGGCCGCAGTTGAAGCCAATGGTGATTTAATTAAATAAATTTACTCTTTAGTATTTCAAGATATTTTTGTGTAATTTTAATAAATATATCTTTTAAAATAAGATATCATTGTTATTTGGATTTTTGCGTATTTTGAATTGGAATTCGGCTCTCCGATTCATAATTCCGAACCATTATCCATTACTGCACTTGAATATCCTAGCTTGCAGCAGCTGTTATTCCCAAGTAGTCACTCATCTAAGTACATCTTGCTTAACTTCGGTGATCGTACGTGAACTGGTGCTTCAACGTGATATGACCGTAAACCAAGAAAACGCAAAAAATAAAATGAAACATTTCAATATCTGAGAATTTCGCCTTTTATTATCTAACTAGGAAGGGAAAGTAAAAAAACAAAACAAAAAAAACCCTGAAACGTTGGGCGCATATATATATATATATATATATATATATATATATATATGTTTCATTAAAGTCGACAGACAAAGTGCTGAGATTGAGCTTTTTCTACAATTATTATTAATGGGAACATTAATAATAATGAAGGAAAAGTCAACACTCTGTATTACCAACTATGAACACGGCCAGAGTGTAGTCACCATGTATAGAAAATAAAAAGAAACGTTCCCATTACTATAGATACCCATATATTAATGTCTACATATTCAGTGAAATAATGCAACACATCCTTGCTAATGATTAACAGAGTGGCTGATAGACCTCGGATATCTAGAAATAAAACACTTTTACGAACACAAGAAAAATTCAATAAAAAGCATATACGTTGTAAGTCGTCTTTTAATGAAACCTATATAAAAGAGGAACCCCTACGCAAATGCCCACATATATATATAAATATATATATAAATATATATATAAATATATATATATATATATATATATATATAAATATATATATATGAATATATATATATATATATATATATATATATATATATATATATATATATATATATATATATATATATATATATATATATATATATATATATATATATATAAATATATATATATATATATATATATATATATATATATATATATATATATATATAAAATAAGAGAGAACCCACAAACGTTTTTGACTGTAATATTATGCTTTATTTTCCATAATTTTTGCTACACGCGTTTCCGGTCTCCTGAACTTCATCAGGCAAAGCGTGGAGATTTCCACATATTAAAAATAATTAATTTTTTTATTCTCGATATGACATTCTCTTTTTAGTGTGTTAGTGACCCAAATGTTTTTCTTGAACTGGCAGTGAAATGTTCTGCGTGAAGGGTTTTAAAACAATTAAGATTGGTCTCCGAAATGGAGGAGTTATCAGTGTTCTTATCTTTTACTGACCCTGTGTGTTCTTAGTTCTATTTCCATTTTCTTCTGTTTTTGTCTTCATACATATACATATGGTTCCCATGTCACAAGGAATCAGTACACCCCCCACAAATATATATATATATATATATATATATATATATATATATATATATATATACTTTGCAATTGGAATTAAGATACCTTTAGTAAATGACCATTTCACCTACGAAATTTAATTTTAAAATTCGCAGGATTAATCAAACTGTTTCTGATATCGGTTTGTTTGAAAAGTTTGAAAAATCCTGTGAATTTTAAAATTAAAATTTGTAGGTGAAAATCGTCATTTACTAAAGGTATTTTAATTCTAATTGTAAAGAAAATTTACTCTGCTTATTGAAAATAATCATGGAGCGGTCGTTTGTGAGTCAGTTTTAACATATTTCAAATTCTATGTTGTGTTAATAGGACTCACCTGGATTATACCAACGGATTACTAGCTACATATATATATATATATATATATATATATATATATATATATATAGAGAGAGAGAGAGAGAGAGTATATATGTCAATGTACTTCAAACAGTAAGAATATTTTTAAATTCAGTATTCGAATTGTTTATTCACAGGATTTGATCTTTACATAAAACGTCCTCACGTCTTCGCCAGATAAGCCGGCAGGATATCTATGTTTTTAGCTTTAGCTTATCAGCAAACGATTTTCGAATTATTTGTCAGACCAGTAACTCTCCGATTACAACCGCTTGCTGATCTCTCTTCCAGAATAATGTAAACTCCTTTTTCGCATAGAAAACTTTCCACCAGATATGTCAGAACTTTTTTTATTTTATTTTGCCAGTTCACTTTGTTCTGCATCTTCGACACAAAGAGAAGAAAAGAGTTAACATAAATATTTCAACTTCGATTCTGATTAGTAGAAGAAAAAAAAACACACTGACGATATCCGTTTCAAGTTAGCAGTTTTCGCACAGATTTGAACTCGGTTCGTAGGGTCCGCTTTCCGTTCTGGGGATTGGATTTTCGCAGAGTGTAGTTGTATGCGGGTTGGAAAGAGAAATCAGCGAACCGAGTTCTAATTCCGGTCGAGTTCATCACGTTCATTTTCGCATGAATACCCTTGGGAAATGTATGAATTGATTTATTCTCCCCGTCACCAGCACGGCAAACTGAGAACACTAGACTTGGTTGGCCACCAGTCTAGGAGGAGGACAACTCCAAATTCAAAACCGAATGTTGTACTAATGGACAGGGAGAAGCTCTTAAGCCTTTTTTGGCAGCCTATCTAGAGACAGTTATTTGATAATTATTCCCATTTCTCAACAACCTGGCCTACTCACGGAGATGTAACGGCCCGAAAAAAACAAAAAACAAAAAAAAAAAAAACACACACACAGCAGATTAATTCACGTGAGTTACACAATTTGCCGCAGACGAAGATAATGTCTTTTTCATTTTTAGCATGATTTTTAAACAACATCGTATCACCACCCTCTCTCTATTCTCTCTCTTTCTCTCTCAAACACACACGCGCAAACACAAACACACACACATACACACACACTTTATGCCATCTTAACTTATAAAAGAAATAAGTAGATATAGTAACGAGTAACGCGTGTCTATTGGTATATACCTACTCACGGACACGTGGAGGATGCAACATATGGTCAGTTTCACTTGATAAATACTTACACTTATATGCCAACAACAAAGACAGCCTTGTTCACACGACCACTGTTAGTCCAGTGCCAGTATCCAGCGACACATTCTCTGTATTGCAGTTAAAGAGATGCTGCTCCAGGGTCGGAATCCCTAGTACCAGGTTTCTCATATGTTTTAGTATGGAAGAAAACATATACTTTAATTTTATCCCAACTCAAACTCTCGATGAAAGATATGTCTTCCGATAGTTGCACTCTACTACGGTAGCTAGATGAGAAAAAGGCAGTGTCAGATAATTCTGATAAATAAAAAGAGAGCCTATAAGACAAGGATATGTCGTTTCACCGTACTTATTCAAACTTTTCAGGGAGCCGATTCTGAGAGAATTAGAAGTCATACCAGGATTCATTATTGGCGGACACAATCTTAACAACAGGTATGCAGATGAAACAGTTCTGATCTCAGATACAGAAATGAAACTATACGAACTCCTACAGAAAGTAATGAAGGAAAGCAAGAAGAAAGGACTAAACGCAAATTACAAGGAAACTGAATATATGGTTATAAGTAAAATGAGATACCGAAATCAAACAAGTATAACTATCTAAATATCTAGGAAGTGTCATTCGGTTAGCAAAATATGCTTTCCAAAAGCTAAGCAAAGTATTAAGAAACTGGAAATTTTTCTACAAAAAAGCTACTGAACTGTGACGTAATGTCAGTTTTCCTATATGGCAGTGAATGTTAGACAATCTCTTCGGAGCCTTGAAACAACAGATATGGCGTTTTACAGAAGGTTGCTGAGAATACTACGGGGGACCCTGTATAATTAGAATCAGAAAGATACAGTCGAAAGTTCTAGGGCACATAATTAGGAGGGCTTAGAAAATTTGACATTCACAGGAAAGGAAAAATGACAGGAAAGCAGCGCTTTACCTGATGAACTTGTGTAAATGGTTGGCAGAACAGGGATTAGGAGAGATGGCAAAAAGAGAAAATTTACTAAGAGCCACAAATGACAGAAAATTGCCCACGTCCTGAAGGTACATTGCGCAAAAAAGAACAAGAAGAAAAATAATTAGCCGATCCTGTTACAGATCTTGCTATGACCGTCTAGAATTAGTTAAAAGCGTTGATAATTATTTTCATATTTAAATTTCCGGATAAAGAATATTAAATGTGATAGTATACAAACTATACACACACCAATTGTTCTACTAAGAAAGCCTTCATCTGATGGTGATTCTGTAGACAAATATTGCTAACGAAAGAGTATTAGTATTATCTTTGAAAAACTCATCACTACTTTGCGATAACAGAGGATGTTGTTGGTTTTCTATCGCAGTTTGAGAATACAAAATTAAAATGCAGATTCGTCATATAGTTCTTATATTCACAACTTTCCAGTCTGTATTAACGATCTCAGAAAAGAAACATTAATTCAATGATGTGAGAGTGAAATTAAAAGATGAAAATATATTATATAATTTTTGGTAAAAAAGAATTCTTACAAAATTTTCAATAGATATATGAGATAAGGTCCATGAAAAAGAGTTTTTCTTATTTTGAATGTCAATATATATATATATATATATATATATATATATATATATATATATATATATATATATATATATATATATATATATATATATATATATATATTGATCCTCAATTATATATAGGCTTACGGCCACATCACACTGGTTCTTTTTTCGATAACTGAAGTTAAGCAACATTGAATCTGATCAGTAACTAGATGGATGACCACTTGTTAATAGCAGGTGCTATACGCTTGGATTTGTGGGTGGTTTAATGGATAACGGCCTCGAATGAGTAATCGGAGATCCGATTTCGAATTCTAGTCGGATTCGTTACATTTCTTGCCGCGCAAATTTCCTTGCGAAAGATGTGAATCCACTTTTTATTCCTCCAGCTGTGGGTTAAACGGTAGTACTTGTATTTAAAAAATATTTATTATCTTCACTTACTAAAAATGGAAAGAAAATAATTAGGTTGACAATCCGTAAAAATCTAATAAATCAACCAATTGTAGTGGAATTGGCATTACATAGCAGTTCAGCACTTTTCTTTGTTTTCAAAGAAAATCTGTTTCTAATAATTTGTTTAGCATTTGGAAATCGTCTTTTGCTAATCCAATGAGACTTCGGATTTCTGACACATTTCTTATCATCTTTTAACAAGCGCTAAATTTCTGTACTTGCGTCATTTTGACTAAATTACATTTCTGTACTTGTTTCATTTTGACTAAATTAAAT